GCTCCAGGATATTCCGACTCAGGATGTGTCTTCGATGTGACGTCGTTTGGAGCAGTGGGTGATGGTTCGTGCGATGATACGGCAGCGTTTAGAGATGCGTGGAAAGCAGCCTGTGCGGTTGATTCCGGCGTCGTTTTAGCACCTGAAGGCGGCGTTTTTAAAATCACGTCTACGATTTTCTCCGGTCCTTGTAAACCGGGACTTACATTTCAGGTGGGCAATTTGCTCTTAACAGTAATAATATATAATATTTCAACACAAAAAATTAAATAATTGTTTGACCTTTTTTATTATTGGACCCACCTTCCTAATGAGCCGTCTCTCGAATCATCAATAATCACTAAAATCCGTCAAAAAATTTTTTTTTGATAATAGTAATTTACCATTTAAAAAAAAAAGTTACTCCATAAGATAATCCTTAATCTCAGCTTATTTCCGCATTTGGTCTCTATGAATTACCTTAGTCATTTTTTTTGTTTTGGCAATGTTTTCATTTTTAGGTTTATTTTCGATGTTTAATAGTTGTTTTTTTAATGGATTTCTGTTTTTCTTGTTTAAACCTTTGTCACTCGCTTTTAGAATTAAATTTTCCAGAGGTTTATCTATCCACTTCTCGTCGGTTCTGTAAACTTAACATGAAAACTTTAATACAATCATAAAAAATAGTATGTAAAAAAATGGTTATCAAGAAAAAAAACTTACAAAAAAATGAATTTGTTCTAATTGTGAAGTTGGACGGCGTGTTGATGCCACCGGACGGACCAGAGGAGTGGCCAGAGAAAGACAGTAATAGCCAATGGTTAGTTTTTTACCGCCTCGACAGTATCACTTTTGCCGGTAAAGGCACCGTCGAAGGCAACGGTCAAAAATGGTGGGACTTACCTTGCAAGCCTCATCGGGTAAAATCCATATTATTTTTGTAATAATTATAAAACTACTTTATTCACGATTATTTTTTCATTTTACATTTAGAGATATGCTGATTACTAAATTAATAATTCGTGACCTTGACGAAATAAAACATACGACAAAAACCGTACTATTGTTCCAATGATTTTACT